CCCATTAACATAGGTCAACGCAACGATTTCATCTTTAAGCGCCATTGGGCTCTATCCATTATCATAGGTCAACGCAACGGCTTCATCTTTAAGTGACATTGGGTTTACACCCAGTAACAAATCATCGAAATGATTTCATAACTAAGTACCATCTATACGGAAATAAAATTATTAGCGGTCCCACTGGATTATAGGCAAAACGTGATAAAACAATATTAAACTTCCAATAACATCTGTAAAATAAATCCCACTAAAACGAAACTAATATAAACAAGTGAACACACGTTAATATCATCGATTTCATGAGTCCAGCATATCAGTCTGGCATGTCTATACTCGTTATAGGTACAACTGGTTTCATAGCTTCATTTTTCTTCTGATTCTTGACTCCTTTTTTACTCTCTTTGACGGTTTTGACCTCCTCGTCTCTATAAGGCTCCTGATTGACGGGTGGCTCCGTAGGTATTACATTGGAGCCTCGATTTACGTTATTATTATACGCGATGTTTGCGTATTCCTGGAGTAACGGGAATACCGACAGTAGGAAATGGCAGAAATCTTTCCTTATGCCAAACCACCCTGAAAGCAAAATACAAATATAAGCTCCACAACATTTATTTAAAACTTGATATTGGCGGACATCGTCGTGGAACAGTAGGCGCGTATGTTCACTATACGGTCACGTGACCGGGGACGTAACTTAATAACTAGTTTATTTTTACTTAGTTATTAATAATACTTTTCTGTAGGACTAAACATAACGTATTTAGTAACTTAAAAAGAAAAGATAAGCTGTCAGACCAAGGGCTTTACCATGAACTCTTATTACAGTTCAGTATAGGTTCGTAACGCCAAAAAAGCGGGATGGTGATATACACTTCAAGTAGCGCTGTCTCACAACAATTCATTTTAGGTCCTAAACTGAATCGTAATAAGAGTTTATGGTAAGGCCCCAGGTCAGACGACTGTCATTGGGAATCTATAAAAGACATTTATCCAGGCCGTTAAAAATAAAGCAAAGTTCTGTCAATTCGTGAATTTGTGTATCGCCCTACATACTCGATTTAAAAAAATCATTTAACATTTATTATGAAATTTAATTAGAATTTCGCCAGAAGCAGCATTCGACTCCGTGTAAACCTCAGAGTCGACTGTGCCTTCCTTCGACAAGGTTTAGTAGTAAAAAAAGTAAAAAGCTTAGTGTAAACACGCCATCATGGCGTATCATCATTATCGTCACCAAATCCTTATGAAAACAAGCCTACAAACAGAGATCCAAAATGAGCTGAAATTTTCAGCGTTTTCATAACGCTTATTATTGAATGTTTCAGTATTTCCAGTGATTACACTTAGTCGACTGGGTCAACTTCGGCAGCGGACTAGTCGTTAAACGACTCAGTGTTAACACTGCGTAAGTTGCCGCCTTCGACTGCGACTTATCGACTTAGTGTAAACACGCGATCATGGCGTATATCATCACCAAATCTTTATAAAAACACGTTTACGCACAGAGATTGAAAATGAGCTCAAATTTTCAGTGATTACACCTAGTCTAATTATAGTCGTCAAACGAGTCAGTGTCTATACTGGGTAGGTTACCACCTGACAAGCGGAGTCGACCTGTCGACCTAGTGTAAACTAAATACGAAGTGAGGAATTGAGCTTGCTTCGTAAGTACTTACTGACTCTCGACTTGGTAAAATCCAAATGATATAACCTAAAAAGCAGTAGTACATAAATTACTTACATTTATTCCCTCCTTTCGAACTGAAGGACATAATGATGAGCGTCCCATAACTGACAAAGAGTGGACTCACGACCACGGTGTACGACAGTGATATTCCGTCGTCCAGTTTATTTGTCAATAGTACCTGTAAATACAAAGCACCAGTTTTCACATGAACGATGCCAATCTAATAGTGCAATTAATGTAATACGATTCGTAAAACTTGGATGTATAATATAACAATTAAAGTCAGGTAAAAAGTTGAAAAGGACACACACTGGCCACAGGCCTATCAAACAGTTTATTTAAAGTTGTATTTCTTATATCGAAACTGCAGAGTAAAAGAAAAACGGGACAAAAAGGCAAATTAAAGTCCTTTTCCACCGGCGAGGGGACACAAGACGATGGAAGTGGTAAATAATAATATAAATTTACCGTATTAATGTTCAGTGGAACATAGGTATATGTCACCCCTGTTTTTATGGAACGTAGGCATTATTTTAAACGGTAAAAAGTGAACGAAAAGAGAAAATAGTTTGCAAATCACTTTTGGCAAGTGAAACACGTACCTGAAATGCTAGAATAGGTATGACAGTGAACGTGTATGCCAGTGCTGAATTGAAGCTGGTGCGACGCTGCTGTATGTTCACCTCCGGTGTACGCAACAGTATGCCAGCAAATATGATACTGTATAACACCCCTGGAAAATAGAACAAGAGTATATTTGTCTTTCTTCCTAATGCCTGGAGATGGTGGTATAATCCTATAAGCAGTGGCGATGCTACAACATTGTAAGCCACCTTACACTTAGGTTTGGTTTCCATAATATAATGAATTACTATTCAGTATTTCATACCCTTTGGTATAAGAAAGCCACATGTGATTATACATGAAAGTGCTGTCATCCATCACAAGAAAGTCATAAAAATAATTCCATAAAACAATAGTATATTGTGTATTAAGAGCAGCAACTATGTAATTACTAATGAGAGACCATTATAAGCCCGAAGACGAAGGCTGAGGGCTTTAATGAGTCGAGTTTATATTTTTTCACCGCCCGTGCTACATACAATGTTTTTCATCACATTTGCGAGGAAATAAATACAATGTTAATTTATATCTTGTATGAATAAATATCGCTTCACAATACGATTACGGATTTCGAAAATGGCGGAGTATTTGTTTTTTTTTTACAAATGGCTAGCTACATATTCTTTCATAGATAAAACAACTGGAACTAAAATGTTGTAAAAGGCAAAAACGCATATAGTCTTGTTGTATTAGATATAAAATAAATATTTTCGAAAGACTAAAAATACTGCACAATTAGAATTAAAAAACTAATTTAGCAAAATATAGTTAAAATGCAAATGTTTTTTTTTTCTTTATGTACTTCAAGATAATAACGAAACACATTCAAATTTTTCGTGCTTAAAAAGTTTTTGTTTAATTTTGACGTATACATACATATATGAGAAGTAAAGTGCAATTAAATAAAAAATCCATTACCCCTTAGGGCGATAATGTAATGAAAATGCCCGTGTGTAAGGCCATTCCGGCCGACTTTCCCTGCATGTCATGACACTTTTTACGAGCAAGTAAATAATGAAAATTGTATATAACACTCCTATTTAAGTATAAAAAAATTATCGACAATTTCGTTTGTAGTATCTTTAAGCCTCTACTGAAAAGTTGTCATTTTGCAACTGTGGCCTTATTACACCAAGGGGATTATCCATGAATGCCGCCAAGCACTCACGGAGGTATGTATGTAGGAAGCTCTCCCCTTTCTCAAGGTCAAAAGGAAAATGCTGCGCATTATAACGTGTCATTGTTCACACAATAAACGCCTTTTCAATCTAGGTATCACGGACAGCCCTCTATGCAGAGCTTGCATGGAGGGAGAGGCCACGCACATTCTATTGCAATGCTGAGGCGTAACGCACTACAGGGCGAAATATCTTGGAGTGCTGAGGTCGCTCCCCGAAGTTTTCAACAAACCTAGGAGGGTGCTGGATTGTTGGAGGAGCTTGAGTCGCACGAGTAGGAAAGACCTTGCACCCACCACACGCAAAATAGGCGCCTGGACATGGAGTTGCGAACACCAGCCCGTTACACCATACCACACCATAGTACGTTGTCCCTACATTCTGATCTGTCAGTTTCCCAGTGTTTAAAATTGGAGCATACAGGAAACAAAATACATATCAGAAACTTTTTAATTCATCATATGAAAGTCGTCCAAGATACTTACCCACTAGACTGAGGCACATAAGTATCCAGAGCGGTACAAACACAACCTCCCACGACCATTGGATAAAGCCATCCAGTTTCAAAGCTAGGAATATAAACTGGAGGATATTTACGGCGCAAAATAACTCCAACTGCAAAGTAATACATTTGCAATTTAAATTTATGTATTTGACTTACGTGAGTTCTTAAGCTTCTTAAGCTAACCGTTGGAAATTAAACTTTTTTTTTTGGATTTAAATCATGCATATTTGTTTTGATGATGTGATGAAACCGGCACATCAAAAAATGTTGATAACCTTGGAAAACTTGTGAAGTCCCCAACCCTTATTGGGCCAGCGTGGTGGACCCTCTCCTAAAGAGACGACCCGTGTCCAGCAGTGTGATGTATAAATGGGGTGATAATGTTATGCTATAAGAAACAAGACAACGTATTTTACAGGTCCAATGGTCACAACTGACTCAGCTGATTTTAAAAAACAAATAAATACACGATTGAGCGACGAAAGGGCGGACGAAAAAGCGGCTAAATGACAAAATAATTATTTGAGTCATCATAAAAAACCATAACCCAGTAGTTGAACATTGAAAATGACACCGTGGTTCAAAAAAATAAATTACACAATTTGGTTTTAATTGTATGACTAGAATACGCCCAATAAATCAAATCATTAGAAATAAATGAGATTTTTCGGACATGTACAATTATTGTATTTTTGTCTTCATTAACGCAGTCATAAGGCTGTCATCTATAGTAAAGCGTTTAAGCATTTTTTTCCTATAATGTTAGCAACAATTTTCGCGGTTATTTATGAGTCTTTCTAAAAAAGTTATTACTGTCGAAGAAAATGCATTTACGAATTTTAAAACAGTGATAAGTGATTGCATAGAAGTACACATCGCACCCTTAGTAATATAAGGGCACAATCCAAAAAAAGTAGATTTTTGGGAATGTGGTGAGGAGTTATTGTAGTTTCAATAAGTACAAATTTCAAGTCCCACCCGTCACAATGAAACATATATATTTTTATTTTAACCAATAAATATGCAATCTATTGGCATTTGCTTTTGTAAAGTTTAAGTTATTATTTTGTCTTGGTTGGGCATTGCGCACGTAAATAGGAATGTAAATATTAAGATTTGAAAGTGTGTCCCACCCGTGACAGCGATGGGTGGGACACACTTCTAAACGTTTTTACTTTGAATAAATGTTTGTATTTTCATGGATTCGAGTTTTTACGATGTTTACTAGATGTAACAGTTACTTTAATTTTGGAGTTTAACATTTGATGTGTTAAATTGTGACGATCGGGACACCATTTTGTGACAGGTGGGACAAGTTACATTTGAATACATAGAATTAAAAAAATACACTGTTATAAACAGTGTATTAATAACCGTCATTGTGAATAAAAACCGCCGAAGTATTTTAATAACCGGCAATCTGTCTCACTACTGCTACACATATCTCTCAACCCTGACATTGGCAAAATCGTCGCGCAAAACGACGGAGCCATAGACACAAAAGTTGAAGTTGAAGTTGACTTTTTAGTCGTAGCGCCATCTATGAGAAATCTATGAAAGTTTTATCACCCAGATAGTTTAGTGGTTTTATCACCTAGATACATTTACAGCTACCGGCCCTGGCGAGAGATGTCGCTATTCACTGTATTTTAAATTTTTATTGAATTGACATTCAATAAGTTTTTGTGATATTACGCCACTAGTTTGTTATAATTATTAATACAAAGATCGAACACTCAGAAAAAATTCCTTCGATCCGGCCATATTCGAACCTACGTCTTCTAGCATACCATGGCAGAATACTTGACCAAATCAAAATACACAAACAATGTCAAGTATGATGCTTCATTCGCATCATGCGTCGAGTATTACTTATTTAACAGTAATTGTTTTGGATGGACGTCAGACGGAGAACGGAAGTAGATTCCCTGATCCAAAAAAATAGTTTTATTTAGAAATAATACATACCTCATAACTCCTATCGTGCTTTACAGACCATATGCAAATGGCAATAGAGACAATGCTAATGAAGATAAGCGGGATGAAGACTAAGATCCACACATGGCGCCCTGAAGTCATCTGATCACAGACCAGCAGCTCAAACATGAGCAAGATCAAGTGGATGGCCAAACTTATTAGCATTGCTTTGTAGTGGATGTATGCTTCGCCTTCTAACCTGAAATTTTAGTAATGTTACTAGAGTGTGATAGTTAGTTGTATTGTTTATTGCATTACGAGTATGTGGTATAGAAAAGGTCTTAAAGTTATTACATGCTCCAACATAAAACCCGCAAAGACTCTGCAACTTAACTTACTTCATCAAGTACATTAACTATTGTAACAAAATAAAACTGCCTCCATGGCCAAATGGCTACCATGCTGGACTGACATGCTCAGATCCCGGATTCGAATCCCGGGCCGGGAGAAATATGTTTATGACCTACATTTATTTCTCTAGTGAGTTTGAGTGTAATTTGTGGTTGTCTATGTGTGTATCCATGGCACCCGCGATATAGGGTTTTCCTAGTGCGGGGCTATGAGTGTGTATGCATTATTATTTTCATAATCAAAAAAATCCTGTAAATTCTAAAAACAGTTCGATGTCAGTATTTTAGTTTATTAAATTTGAATATTTTTAATTGTGGGACACAGCAGACCTTGTTCTTAGAAGAATCATGACATATTTAAGGTATTACGATTTGATAACTGCAAGTTTGAACATTTATGCCACCAGTATGCACATCTTGAAAACTAACAACACACAAGTGCAGTGATATCACTACACTGCATCCAGCATTGCCACCTTGGGAGGAAATAGCTAAACCTAAGTAAAAAATTGCTAGATGCTAAGAGATTAATTCTGGAAAAAAATAGCCAAAAGTGGCTAGCTAAACTACTTTACTAATTATGAATCCAAAAAATATCATCATTGTTTGAAAAAACAAATATACGCAATTTAAATCAGGAAAAATAGTTTCATTTCCTATGTGTAACAATCGCGAAAACCTAAGAACTCAATAATATTATATGTGAGTGATATTTTGGATATTTTTTCTAGTTCTTTTGTTTTTCCTAATACTTTTAAGATGATAACTGGGATTGAGTAAGTCGCACATATCTTTTTATTTTTATTCAGAAAATATTGGATCCTTAATATTGATTTTAAAAGCAAGCTCACTCTATTTCTGTTTATTTTTAATAATGCTCATGACAGAAGAAACCTGTCCACTTCAGCATTAGAATGAGGCAAGGTTATTGCCAAACTTTCATTTCATCAAAAATTGTCATTGCCAAAACTTTCAACTGTTAAATTTTTAATACCGTAAACATTTTTTCTTAACATTTTTGGATTAGAAATTGATTGAAAAAGTATAACTTTTATTAGTGTATAAAAATAGCTAATATCATGCCTCAGCTCCTAGAGCTGTAGTGTATTCATTAAAAAATAATAATAGCATTTATTCTTTTTGAAGTACCAGCTGTCATATGTTCCAGTTCCTTGCTACTTTCTTACTGTACCTATGTACGTTGGATTATATTAATGCAAAAAAAAATACTATTAGTATAAATACCAGCAGAATTTACATCCACTGAATTATTATAAATTAATAAGAATTGATTAATGAAGCCAGAAGGAAAAAAATGGCTAAAGAGATCCCTTGAAGTCAAACTGGAGTATGGAGCTTATAATAAGACACTGTTCAGTTTTACTTTGTGGTTATTTTTAGATAAAAAAAACGTAACAATTTCAATGACTTATTACGTTATGGGTAAAGATTAATTCACACAAGGGTACGAACCTGAAGTGGGGGTACTGCCACCAAACATACGTCCCCACTGTAGCACCCAAAACAACGAGGAATTTCCACACCCATATGGGTGTAAACACAGCCCAGTACGACCATGATATGGCCTCGTCCAACTTTAAAGCTAACAGAGCTGTGAAAACCAGTAAACAACTGTGTACGACGAATTTGCTGCAAAAAACAAACAACATTGACAAGGATCGAAATATTATCTTATAACGCACGAAAAGGACTACCAAAAATGGCTACCTAGGATTAAAATCCTGAAATAGGGTTTGTAAATTCATTTCCATGCACATTCGTGTCAAAATAATCCCATATCATTTCACTTTTTAAATTAAATTTCATGGAGATAATCTTTCTCCAAAAATGTCAAATCAACAAATTGACAATCAACTTTTTTAATGTTTCTGCTCGAATTTATTTATTCTACACAACCACTGCGCCACTGCTATGATTAAAAATTGTCTGACTGTGTCTGATTGGCAAAATCTGAGAGTGAATGGTAAATTTATAAAAAAAAAATGTTGCTGCTGTCAACCATCGTGTCAAAATAACAAAAAGTCAATAGCAAAAAGTGGTCTGAGTGGTCTACAATAACCTGTGAATGTGAACAAAATCAATAGCTGATTTGCCTCAAATTCTCGTTTATTAGTTTTCTACGGTTTATTTTAGTATAATAGTGTTTATAATTACGGCAAGATTCGTTGAATATATGAACAATGGCTTCTCCGTCGCCAAAATCGCCTGAACAAAGTGAAAAGAATAAACAATATGACCGGCAACTTCGTTTATGGGGTGACCACGGGCAAGCAGCTCTTGAGAACGGCCATATTTGCCTAATAAATGCAACGGCTCTTGGTACTGAAATCCTTAAATCTATAGTTCTCCCAGGGGTCGGAGCAGTTACTATCGTAGACGCTAACGAAGCAACTGACCAAGACATTGGAAGTAACTTTTTCCTGGAATGCTCAAGCAAAGGCCTCAACCGAGGATCAGAAGCGCTTCGCCTAATTCTAGAATTAAACTCGGCAGTGCAAGGTCATGCTGTGCAGGTATCGCCGGACCAGATACTCCAAGAGAATCCAGATTTCTTCAAGAGTTTCAGTGTAGTCATAGCAACAAGTATTGGCGAGAAGACTGTTATAGATTTATCCCAACATTTGTGGGATATCAATGTACCATTTATTTTCTGCAGATCAGTAGGCTTCCTAGGATCGTTTAGAATACAAGTGAAAGAACATGCTGTGATAGAAACGCACCCAGACAATGAACAAGTCGATTTACGGCTGGACACCCCATTTCCTGCCCTTGCAGCATATATTGACAGTTTTGACATTGATACAATTGATTTGAAGGATCACGGTCATATCCCATGGCTTATCATTATATATAAGGCTGTTCAAAAGTGGCAAATCAAAAATAATAGCAGTTGGCCAATGAGCAGAAAAGAAAAAAATGAAATCAAAGACATTATTCAGGATTTTATCAGAAAGGATGAGAATGGCATCCCAATTAATGAGGAAAACTTTGAAGAAGCTACAAAAGCAGTGAACACAGCTTTGATTCCCACATATCTGCCATTAAAAATCAAGGATCTCATTTACAGTACTTCAGCTACTAATTTGACTAAAGAAAGTTCACAATTTTGGATCATGTGCTCTGCTCTGAGAGGTTTTGTTGAAGGTGAAGGAAAAGGAAAACTTCCTGTGAAAGGAGTCTTACCTGACATGACCTCATCTACAGACTACTTTGTAAAATTACAGAACATATACAGGACTCAAGCTGCTCTTGATGCCGAGGCAGTTTATAGGAAGGTGCAAGAAATTGTAGCTCAATTGCACTGTGATAGCATAAGTGAAGCTGATGTCAAGTTGTTCTGCAGACATTCTCATGATTTGCATGTGATCAAGGGTTCCAATATAGCCACTGAACACCAGATGGGTAGTGCTGTGGCTTCATATGTATCTCGACATTTAGAAGAACCAGATATCATGATGGTTCAATACATTGTGCTCCGTGCTGCGGAGATCTTCAAGTCTGAACACTGCAGAGCCCCAGGTGATCTGGAGCTAGAAGGTGACATAGCTCAGCTGAAAGCATGTGTCTCCAAACTACTTACTGATATACAATGTTTTCCTTTTCCCAAAGATGAATTTATTCATGAAATGTGTAGGTATGGAGGTGCTGAGTTACACAGTGTGTCTGCTTTTCTGGGTGGTTGTGTTGCCCATGAGGCAATTAAAATTGTCACTAAACAGTACAAACCTGTACATAACACATTTATTTATGACGGAGCTTCAACGAATACCGCTACTTTCACATTTTGAAACTGGATTTAGGATATAATAAACCATAAGTAAGCGTAAAAACTGTTTTATTGCAAACTTGATTTATAAGGATAAGAGTGATGGACAGATGAAAAATTAATTAACTACAGTTAATTCATCAAGGTTGTGTATTTTAGTTGAGATATTTTTATCTTAGGATTGAAATATAAAAAGAAATTGGAAAAAACATTTTCACTATGTAACAAATTTCAACACATAAATTAGGTAAATAAAACATATCACATGACTAAAATAATTGAAACAAACTAAACATTTGGCTAAAATTCACATGGCAGATTCAATAGAAGGTTATACCATTTCAACAACAGTACATAGTTTCATTTTATTTATAATAGTATTTGTAGTGTAAGCTGGAGGCCGATCAGCCTCAACAAATATATAACACAACATTGAGAATTTCTCATTAGTTAGCTACTTATTTCACCTTAGCCACAACTTCAATCGCAACGCATCTACGCCATTTAGGTAATAACGAAATAGACGCTTGTCACGAACAAAACCTAAATTCTCATAAAGCTTCAGAGCTGGTTTGTTTGTGATTTCAGTTTCTAACACCACCTCATCCGCATTGTCATTTATCATAGCCTGAAAAGAGAAAAAATATATTTAATACAAACTGAAAAATTTTAACATTCAAGAACTTAGAAGTTGGTAACAATTTAAGACCTTCAAGTAGTTAGTGGAGCTGGTACTAAATTTTGATATCAATGTTTGGATCGTGACCAGAAGTTAGTTCTGTCAAAACTAACTAGACAATACTAACAAGAAAACTATCTAGTGCATTTGAAATTACTACATTTAACAATTTTGGTTCTAATTTTGTCTAGTGTCATGAAAGGATTTGTATTTGGATCTGTGCATTTGAAACAAATTTTATAGCAGATTTAGCATTTACAAAGATGAACAAGTCAAAATGTGACTTTTCAGTTTCTGTGCTGAGGCTCCTCAATTATATTTATTAGCATTAAATTAATAACTTAATTATTTGTGAGATGCATTTTGTACAATCACTTCCTGCTGGCAACAAGGTGAGGATCTAGACCATAGTTTCCCAAAGTGGGCCCTACCACCCCTCAGTGGTGCTGAAGTGTCCTAGGAGCGCCTCGAAAGCTATTGGGGTCATTGAATCAGGGGACACCACTGCATTTGAAAAAAAATCTAAATTATTTATATAAACTACACCACATGTTTTTTTCCTAGTCATTTTTGTGTTAATGTAAAAAAATATGTGTTTTCAGTTATCATTTTTTGTGGTTACGTGTGGTTACTTGTTTTATTTTATACTGCGGCAAAGAAACTGAAGTTAAATATGACATCACCTGTATTGCTTTCCGAACAAGTCTAGAACCGATCTTTCTCTTCCTGTATTTTTCGTCAACGGCTAACATGGCTATGTAGCCTCTTTTCACCACCTGCCGATGCATATCTAACTTACAAACAATGGCACCAATGCACTTCCCTTTGTGCGATGCCAAAAAACAAAGCTTAGGCCAATTGTGTATAAAATATCTATATGTATAGATAGAGTAAGGTTCAGACAAATCTTTCTGTATAAGTCTCATTATTTCTGGCATTTGAAGTTCTGATTCATAGGATATTATATCGATATCATCTTGTGGCGATTGTTCTTGCGTGTCGAGGATATTTTCGAGGTTATTCGAGATAGCCCCACAGTCATGGCTGAGCTGCGCTCCAGGGGAGGTCGTCGTGGTGCTCTCACAATTTCTAGCAGTATCACTACACTGTACACTATTTACACAGTTTGCGACCTCACAGGATTCTTTCCCTTGTGCTTCGGACTGACCAACAGGACAGGAGTTAATAGGACTGTCATCACTCGCGTGATCGTTCGACCCATTTGTTAAACTATTGTTGATGTTGTTAATATGAAGAGTATTGGCTAATGCTTCAGTCAGCTTCGTCTGTTCCAATATGCTCATATCCTCAGACGTATCAGAAAGATCTTTGGCCTTTTTATTGTTTTTGTTTTTCGAGTTCGTACTTTTTTTACTGCACATGACATTCAGTTCGTTCTCGTCGGCAACTTGATTCATATTGACGAAGTTCTATCTATAGTATTTACACATCCACACAGGTATAAGCTCATATAAATTCCGCAATGCTTCTTCACGATTATACAAGCATCTTTTTCTTGTCAAAATTGTAGATGAGTATCACCGACATCTTGGTACAAAAGTATTACTTCGCAATAAAGTGATCTGACAGTACTTATGTGCGTCCTTATTTTAGAATAGAATTTTATTAACAAAATAACAGAATTCTAAACAAGAATTATGAAAATACCTATTGAAAATATTACAAATTTACGAAAAGTCCAAGGGCCTTCCACAATCACATTGCAAAGAATACAATGTTACCATATGTAAAAAAATATATGATTTTGGCATTTTTGGCAGGCGCTACGGTTGCATTCAAATTATGATATTTTTTGCCAATTTGTGATGTGGAGAGCTACACGTAATTGTTAGGTAATTTTATTTGTAAGTCAATGGGTAATTTACTTAAACTTTTAAATAGGGGAAATTTTTCCGGAAACATTCCCGAAAAATTGGAAAAAATAATTTGGGAGACTCATATCATGTTCTACGTTTAGAAATATCTTTTGAAGTTTTATTTAGCATGAATTATAAAATAAACTCATATAGAATTAATAAAACGAGGTTTTTATATATTTCACAACAGCGAAAAAATCTTCAATAACCACACCACCACCAATTGTGGTTGGTTCCATCGTTTTCGTTCAGTAACTTCCAATTTTGGCAAGTGCCAACGTCAAATATGGAAAAATAGAGAAAATATTGGAAAAATATCCGGAAAATATTTCTTTTTCTGGAAAATATGCTTTAAAAAAATGGAAATTTTTCAATGACTTGGATCACGGATTAAAAAACTAGCCACACCATACACAGTCGCGGGTATTTTTAAAACATAATAAAAAGAGAAGCGCAAGAAGTGGAAACGACTAAAATAAAGTGGTAGTACAGAAAATTTCGGCTTATGGCACACTAAATTTTAGGGAAATCCTATACGATTATGTTAGAATACTTATTTGACCAGAGATTCTTATAAGATGTCCGATTGCTACGTCACTCATCGTCATCGTTATTCAAAGGTTTTTGATATTCCTACGTTTAATTGATTTTATAATAAATAATAATACCCATTAAGGTGCTTTTTACTGTATTTTACAAAAAAGGGAAAGATTACAGTCCCGTAAAAGACGGTTGTAGCGTAGCTCTTAACGTAGCGCAAAGTCGGTCGTAGCGAAACGTGTAGCAAGACCCCCTCTGTGGTCTAATGCCAGACCAACAGAAATGAGTGACGGCATCGGCATTACTATCACTAACAGTATTTATTCTGTGACAAGTTCAGTAGTAATCTATATATAAATCTTAAAAACAAACACACGCGTAGGCTTTTCCGTCTTGTTAAAAACTGCTGACTGATTACGTCGACAAAGGATAAAGGTTATGTACACATTTCTGTGGAGTATACGTTTGTAGGGCATAGTGCGCTGGTGCTGACGTCACGGAGAAGCAACATGGCGGCTGAAAGAGCGCGCGTGCCGCGCGGCGGCAGGTATGGCTCGAGTACTCGAGTTCAGTACCCGGTTGACAGCCGGTGAGGCGGTTGTGGTGATATTATGTGCTCTGATCGTACATCGCGCACACCGCCTCTGCGGGATTTTATACTGTAAATAATTTTGTACACAAATACCTTGTTGTTATTTGATTAAACCGAAGTGCTAGATTGCTTTAGTTTCCCTTAAACTCTTTATAACTGTGCGTTTTTGTAAAAATCGAACCTTATGACTTATTCGATTTACTTTATGGAGATAACAAAAGGTTTTTGAGTGGTTTACCAGAGCTCCAGAATTTTGTAATTTAATGCGAGTTACCAAGTGATACTATGTGACGTTTAGATACTGTGTAATCTGTAGTTTGCTTTAAGTATGTGATTGGCAATGGCTAGACAAACAGTGTCACTACCTATAGTAGTATTGTAATGGAACTTGTATTATGTCACTGTAACACTAGAAGTCCTAGGATTGATGAGGTGATTTTATTCTGTGAAACATTTTGGTGATAAATCAAACAATGGCGGAACGCGATCGTCCAGCGAAAACCCCTATTAGGGTGGGCTTTTATGACATCGAAAGGACCATCGGCAAGGGAAATTTTGCCGTCGTTAAATTAGCACGACATCGAATAATGAAGACTGAGGTAAGGAACACTTATATTCAGTAACTACTGATCCAGTTATGTATTTCATTATTTCCTTACTTAATACCGACTTTTTTTATACTTATTTAGTTTATAATCTTGTTTTCGCAAATATTATATTGAATAAAACTATTATTAAATTATTTATCTTCTTAAATTATTCCTGTTTATCATTAAAGCCACTAAGTGCTTTCATTAATTAGGTGGTGTACTCTTACGTTGCCATGACATCATAAATTAAAAGAGACAATTATTTATATATTACTTATAATTCTGGCTTGTATAATTAAATAGTCTTAAACCCTAAACTCGTAAAGTCAGATGGGTAAAAATAAGTCAAACTACACTTTTCAAGTTTCGAAAGTGCAAACTTAATAAAAAAGGTATAAAGTACAATGCCAGGTTCTATGCAGAAACTTAGATCTTATTTTGAAAAGCCATTGATTTGGTAATACAACAACGCGACAGCAAAAGTACGAAACATACAATAAACTGTCAATTAAGTTCGCGCATAATATTGGATCCTACTCTCGTGCTAGAAAAGACGTCTTTAGAAATTTAGAAAAAAAACATGGCGGACGTATATTACAAATAATTTTGGTATACTTAGAATCTCACAACGGGGATAAATCAACATTATCAACAACCAGCGATTAACATGCAACGAGTGGTCGGACGCAGTAGATCGGGCAAATTGACATCAATTTTACTTTTGATTAAGACATAATTTTAGCACCTCATTTTTTTCCGGGGATGTGTATTGTTACTTTTAATTATTTCAAGCACGACAGATTTAACACCTTTTGTACAAATTTCGTTTTTTTTTCCATCCTCTAAGAAATTTCTTATTATTGTTGGCTTTAGAGCAGAACTTTTGAGCCACTTACAGACAATAGAGATTTTTGTGACATTTTCTATATACTAGACTCTTTAATGCTTAGACTATGGAAACTATTTTTTTTCCATTCTCTAATTTTTAATGCGACATTATTTCGAAATCGAGAAAGCAGCATCGCAAAGAGTCGCAGCGCAGCAATCAGCGCAGATAAATATCACGAAATTAAAGACTTGTTAACTATGATGAGAAAAATCATAAATATTATTAAATACAACAATTTAATCGTAAAATAAGTTTCTGAATAATTAACGGTCGTTTGTAACTATAAATAAGGCAAGAGGTTTATGTTATGAAATCGTATTCACGTGTTGAGAAGCACACCGACATTCCAATCATTGGGGACATAGTCGATAACGATGTAAATCAAAATAACTATTTTTAAAACTATCTAATCACCAAATGTATAGGAATAAACTGGTTTAGGTATATTACTTCAATAGGTATTAATGATTATTATTCGTATTAATGATTATTGTAATTTAAACAGTTTGTAGTTGGTTTGTAGCGTCGAAAGAATAAGAGTTCTTTGTCGTTATTTTATACATTTAATTTTTTTTTGTTTTGAAATTTTCAATGAACTTGCGTATCCTGTTAGTTGACAAAAAAAAGAAAAACAAGGTGTTCATGGGTCAATCAACTTTTACTTGTCCGACGACCAACTCATTGTGTCCCAGACAAAGTGAGACCACTAACAAGAATTCTTTAAAACTATAATTGTTTTATGTATAGTTTTCTTAAAATGAATACTAAAATAAATATATCATTAACCAAAATCTTTACTAAATATTCAAATTTATCCATTATTTAATGGTTGTCCGAGTGACCCAAAACTTCGATCCATAGTATTAACGTTTGTCCCCAAGTAAAGTCGCACCATGGTATTTCATGCCACGAAAAAAATCAATATCCAGCAGGTATTTGTAATTACATATTTAAACATTATGATTATAACTGTTGTCAAAAAAACGTATCGATATTTTTTATTTTATCCATTTTAGGATTTTTTTGCATTAAGTTTTTGTCCCCGTAAAATCTTACGTGGCTTAAGTCTATCGGACAACCGGTAAAAAGTTCTAGCAACAATACAGAGATGGCGCGATAGCTATAATGACAAAAAGCTATTTATACCAGTAAGCGAATAGACTTAGTCGCCATCTTAATTTCGGCGAAACCGTGGCGTCAGTTGATCGAGGTCCGAGTTCGAACGTGGGTGTGTTTATTGCGTGTCCCCCGGACCACCACAAGAAATAGGTAAATAGATTGTTATATTATATTAAATTATAGTGCAACAGATTGTATTTACTCTTGATTTTATTGTAAGAGTGATATAAAAGACACAAAACCTCACTTCTTGCTCAGGTAGCTTAAATTTTAAAAAAAGTCCCTTGGACAACCTGTCGTCTGGACAACCAAATTGGTTGTCCATGGGACATGATTGGTTTTCCGTAGGACCAATTCGTGCAGTTTGATTCTTTGTATAATAAAACTACAAATTTTATTAATTTTCCTGGCTTTACATGTTTAAAATAGTTGTTGTATATGATTTTTGTTATTTATTTTATAGAATGGGAATGTCTGAAAAAGAAAAATCGAGACGCTATAGAGAAAAACTCAAAGCGGGCCAGAAAAATATGCTGAACGAAAAAGAAGAAAGAGAGAAAGCTATCATAAGAACAAAAAATTGATTTCAAATATGCAGCCGAGCGAACAAAAACATTGCAGGACTATTTGGAAATTGCGAAAACAAGAACAAAGAAAACGAATTAAAACAATTGAAAACGTACTTGCCGTTACACCTCCAAGCTCCCCGTCCATTCTGCAGGAAATAAATATACCCCTAGCCCTAAATGTACCCACTCCGCTTCCAAGTCCCGATGTGTTTTCAAATCATAAAAATAAAGAAAACGGAAGAAAAAGGGTTCGTCGAGATAGAACTAAATTATATAAAGAAAACTTACGATTACTAAGCGAAGCTCAGATGTGGAAGAAAAAATATGAAAAATATAAAAAGAGAGCTGCTCGCAAGGAAAAAGAAATACGTAAGATTAAAGAAAAAGAGTCAGAAGAAATAAATGCAGGTATAAGTACTGAAGGATACCACAACAAATATAAAACTTTAACAAATACCATTAGAGAAAGATATAAAAAAATTAAAATCCGAAAAGAGAAAACAATATTGAAAAATATTTTTAAAGACATAAATGCATCTGAAAAGAATAAAATCATAAAAGAGGGTTTAGGTTTACAAGGAAGAATGAGAACAACTAAAAGTGCATGCAGTGGAAATACGGTCCTGAAAAATAAGATAGCATGTTTTTTCCAAAGAGATGATGTGTCAAGAAATACTGCCGGCAAAAAAGAGACCGTTACCAAAAGCAAAGAGAAAGCACAGAAACGGTTCCTCTTGGACTCCATGAAAAACCTATTTAAAGCGTTTAGGTCCGAGAATCCGGATATCAAATGTTCCTACTACTATTTCACTAAACATCGACCCTTCTATATAGTTAGACCAACTGTGGATGGCAGGGATATGTGTCTCTGTAGAACACACACAAATGCAGCAGTTAAAATAAAAGCTTTAAAAAATAGAAAAGTAATCGATAGCACTAACCTAAGTACACTGATTTTGGAAACTGTGACATTAATAAACATGATTGCATGTTAGGGATTTGTGAAGACTGTAAGAATAAAAAAATCAAAATAAACGTAGATGCTGTTAAAGATAAAATATTAGGTGAATCAAATATAAACGGTAATTTTTAAAATTATATTTATTGAATAATATTATACAAAAACTATACCTTCAACATTTTTCAATATAGTCTCCTGCATTATCTACACACTTCTGCCACCGATTTGGAAGCTTGAATATTCCTTCTTCATAAAAAGATTGAGGGCGAGTTGTCAACCAATCGCGCACGTGCTTCTCGACATCGTCATTGCTTTCAAATCGTTTTCCTCCAAGTGATTCTTTCAAGGGCGCAAACAAAAAGTAGTCGCAAGGGGACAAGTCTGGACTGTAAGGAGGGTGTTCGAGAGTTTCCCAGCCCATTTCTTCCAATTTATCCCTTGTCAACAATGCGGTGTGAGGCCTTGCGTTGTCATGGAGAAGGATGACATCTCTAATGGGCACACCTCTTCTTTTGTTCCGGTAACTGGTTTTTGCCGACTGTAGGACCTGGCAGTAGTAAGCTGCATTCACTGTTCGTTGATCGTGAAGAAAATCAATGAGTAGAACTCCCCTTGAGTCAAAAAAAATTGTTGCAAGAACTTTTTCGTCTGAGAGACGAGTTTTGGCTTTCACTGGGCAGCCTTCATCCTTCCTTCGCCACTCCTTACTTGCCATTTTCGATTCGGGAGTGTAATGGTGGACCCACGTCTCATCACATGTGACGATGCGCCTCAAAAAATCTTCACCTTCTTCTTGAAATCGATGCAGAAGTCTCCCAGCGATCACCGACCTGACCTGTTTTTGATTTCCGGTCAACAACCTCGGAACCCATCGAGCACTAATCTTTCGGAAGCCAAGGTGGTCTGTGATTGCAGACTGAACACTCCCGTAGCTGATACCAATTTCCGACGAGATTTCTTGAACAGTTAACCGGCGATCACCTTCAATAAGCTCTCGAACGGCACTAATGTTTTCATCTGTAAGACTTGACCTTGGGCGTCGACGGTGACTTTCGTTTTCCACACGTTCTCGTCCATCCCGAAATTCTCTGGCCCACGTATACACTCGATTCTGAGACAGAGTAGTGTCCCCAAACTGTGCCCGCAAACGAGTAAAAATTTCCGAAGGTTTAACATCTTCATTTGCTAAAAATTTTATGACGATGCGTTGCGCAACAGATGGATGTACCTCTTGCTCGGTCATGGCTGTACTGACGGCAGAACACAACACTGCTGCGAGGTAAGCTGTTACCCCCACTCCTATTAAACAAAACAACAACAACAACACCGCCACATCAGGTCCGAACGTATTTGGTACAGTCAACAGTAAAATTACCGTTTATATTTGATTCACCCTCGTACAATGGTTTGAGTGGGTGAGAGAAATGGAAACCTACCTGAAAGAAGGGACAAAAATGAAAACTGTCAAGAA